GTTTCACCAAAATACTTTGCAACGCGATTTTTAGATTGCGAGCCAAAATTTTGGCTTTCTTTTGCTTTACGGATGAACACGAGGCATCTTGAGGCACTTCCGGATGAAGGACTACGGAAAACCGTTCGGCTTTAGGATCGGATTGACGCATATACCATGAAGACCGAAAAGGGCATCTCTGGCTAATTAGCCATCATTACGGGTCACGGGTTTGAATCTGGGATGAACCCCACCTGAGGTGAGCTTTGACTGGCTGAAAACGGCTAATAAACCAGATATGTCCATTGCGATCTCCTTTGTCTTTGTCATTTGCCGTGAGTGGCGGCCCGCGACCTTTAGCGTAAGACTCCACCATTGCACTATGGGCGCATTGTTTTTGTCGGTTGCGAGCATGTTCTGCAATTGGATCGGTGAGCGCACTAAAATCCATCATACTTCCGATCGAAACTGAAAAAACCAACTAGGCCCTGGTGCAATCATATAGTGTTGCACCCACTAATCAGAGGTCCCGGGTGCGAATGTCAGTGTTCGTTACCCCGGGATTGGGTATCGCTGGCTGATGATCGCTAAAACGCCAGAATTGGGCACTCCGGTGTTCCTTGTCTTAGTCGGTCCCACTATCTGACTGCCTGCAACTACGCTAGACTGAGCCCCAAGGTTCAGCCGCATCAGCATGGGCAGCATACTCTGGTGACGATACTTGACAAGTTTCATTGTAGTGAATGCTTTAGGATTTAAGGGTTTTCAGTTGATTATTCATGAATGCTAATGCTGCATTTTGTTTTTATCCAAAAACCGCAAACTATATTTCCCATTAAACACATACTAAATTATTCATCATCAGGCTGGTATAATAGTGTATGGTAGGGTAGACTTAACAAAAATGCAATCAACTAATCAGTACTGGTTAAGCGGAGAGGGGAGAGGAGTTAATGGATCGAAGGGTCAGATTCTAGTCATACTTTGGGAGTAGAGATGGAGTAGCGAGATCAGCGCTTCGGAGAACTAGCTCATGTCGCCCCACCGTTCCTGTCTCGCATCATGTTGGGAGGTGTCAGTAGGCAAGATGTCACGGTCTCGCGACGGAGCGGCCCGTGTGGGGATGCATGACGTTGCGGTTTCGTATCCGTCTCGTCGCTTGAGGGCATGTGCTCTCTCCTTCCCGTCGGCGTCTCTTCGCCGTCTCGCGGCGTGATAGGAAGCGATGGATGCATTTTAAGTTGGTATTTGACCACGGGAGCTTTACTGCCTGTACAAACGCCTCCTGCCCGCATAAACAGAGCTAATTGTCGGAACCACTTATGACTGGAATCTGACCCTTTGATACCTTAACACATCTCTCCTCATAATTGTTACTGATTGGTTGTTTAAACGTTTGTCAACTCTACCCTCGCTTATATTAGTGTAATAATCTGATTGTGAATAATCGAAAGCGTACGCTCATCTTACTTGAATTCTTGGATGCTTACATGGGTATTTTTCGCTGGACATATGTACATGTAGGCTTGTCTAAACATGGGCTATCATAGTCTAAACTAAACGTTTACAGAAACACCGGGCAGTGAATATGCGTTGCATCTGTTAAAACAAAATGTTCCTGCCTAATTCGCAAATTAAAATGACGCTTGTTTTGCGTATTTTATTGTCTGCTCCATATCCTTTTGCCAAAGCAAGTTCAACTTATCAAGTTAATTTTTAATTTTCCAAAAATAAATGATATATTAAAAAAGCAAATCTGCCAAAACCCCTCAGAATTAAGTAGGCCTAACCTTGTCCGGGCAGTCAGCTTGATGTACCTGCAATGGTGGATTCCACACAATCAGTTTGTTAGGCGGGTAAATTCATCAAATGGTGATTAAATGTGCGTCTGACTGTGGGCCACTTAGGTCAATGGTAGACATTTGGCTGGGCAAAAGCGTCCCCATTTTGGGTGGGTTTGACTCTCACCGACGTCGCGATTTTTCCCGCTTCGATTCAATGGTCTGATAGCTTGGCTGTTGCATATAAATGCATTTTAACTTTTTATTCATATTCTCGTTCTGTAGTCACTATTTTCTACGAAATGTCAAAATTTGCGAAAGATTAATAATCACCCGCAAAACGACATCTACACATGTACACAAACTCTGAAACAACCCTAGGCAAATGCCATAGAATGCCATATAGAATTCAAGTTGCGCAGACGTGGAAAATATCTAAGTTATACCAATAAACTTAACTATATGTGTTGGTTGTAAGCATGAACATATCATTTTCTTTATATTAAAAGAAAATATAATTCTTTAAATTTCTTAACACATATTTCAGGTATTTGATTGCATTTTATTTTATGATCGTCCATTAAAGTCCTTCAACATTTCCGGTTTTTTTAGCTTTCATCAATAACTTCTGCATCTTCTTGAGATTTATATCAGAATCTTTAAAATGACGTATTCCATTAAAGCATTTCACCAAAAAGTGGCTTTTTGTATATTCGTTGTTATGACGGTGGTAAAGTGGGAGATATCTATAAATTCCAAGGTAGAAAAAACACGTAGTCGAACAAAAAGTACGTCCACAACAGTAGTTTGATATTGTTGTGCTTAAGATTAATAATAAAAGCCTTATTTATTAGGTGACTGCTTTAAAAAGCAGATAAGTTGACGAATGTCTTAGGAAGTTAACCTTTTTTCAAATTAATTATGTCTTAAAAATTGATACTTGTGACCAATGATTTATTTTACTCAAAGAATGTGATATACTTTTAAGTGAAAATGAAAAAAACTCAAACTTATCTATATGTAAGAGTGTTTTGGACATATTTACTGCGTTTTTGAGGAAACACTTCATGCCTTCTCAATAAGTAATTTTTAAAACTGAAATGTTGTCTAAAAAACAATGCGAATTCTTAAAATTCGCTGCGTCTGATTTTTTTAAATCAAATGCTGAGGCG